GATATCTTCGCGAAATGCAGAAACTGTATTCTGTCGCGAAATATCCGGATATTTGCCCGTGAAATATCCGGATATTGATATCCGGATATTGATATCCGGATATTTCCAGAGAGATATCCAGATATTGGATATCCGGATATGCCCCGAGGAATATCCGGATATTCTGAGATTTCGAAGAACAGTAGCTGTGCTGTGAGGACAGTAGGCTATTGGGGGTTTGTGGACCCTAGAGTGATGAAGTTGAACTTCTATAATTAATGAACTAAGTCAGAATCATGTGATTTAGTACTTATGACTTTGTTGGAAGCCTTAAGACGTAAATCGTTAAAGGAGAATGTAGCCCTTATGTTAATGCTTTTGAGCTATGTATGTTGATACACTTGCTGGTCCTAAATCAGATTGTGATCTGCTGTGTGTTGGACTTGAGCTGTGAAGACTCTTGGCATTGGATAGTGAGCTTGCAAGGTAAGCTTTTGTGTCCTCGGTTTAGCCATGTTGTGGTTCCATCATGTCCCATGGGGGTATGGTTATATGCATGTTGTGTTACATGCTTTTGATGTTTTGGAAATGCTGTTGAGCTGTTATATGCTAGTGCCTTTATGATATGCATGTGGTGTTCCACCTATATGGTAAGCCCGAGTATATGGTACATACAAGATGGTGAGGCTGTGGGTGAGGTGCAAGCGGTGTTCCTTGTACTACATGTAGGTATAGACGTATTCCTGCATTTCTCTGGCCAGTAGAATAGTGATAAGCACATATGGCATGAATATCTGTTGCACTGCATAGTTTTGGAACTGATATTGATATAAATGCTTTTAGAACTTATATTGCACATGTAAGTGAGCTTGGGGTGGAAGATCCTTGAGGACCCCTAGTCTTACTGAGAATTCAGGTTTAGAGATCTCACCCCACGTTTGGAGAATGCTTATTTCAGGATCAGGTAATGTTGGGGTTGAGGCCCCAGGCGGGAGGAGGCCGGAGCTGAGTTAGACATTGATGATATTATATGCTGACTTGTTGGATGCTGGATATGCATGCTGCTTTTATGCTTTGAGCTTCATTTTATGTTTATGATAATATTTTTTTTGAGACGTTGTTGATTTGGTGAGCATGGGGATTGTCCATGACACATAGACTAGTTATGTCTTAGTTTTATTTGGAGTTGTAATAATGTATCAGTATATTGTCCGGACAACGTGATGTAGATCAGTGATTTAGATACTCACTTTATTTATATATTGAGGTATTTCAGTAGATGTCTTATTGCAATTTACATTCAGGCGATGTTTTATGAAATTGATTAAGTAATCAAGTTGGTAATTGATAATGACGTCATAATTGAAAAGAAAAAGAATATTCCTCATTTTTAATTAAGCGTAGCCTAATACAATGTAATGATAACACTACCGGATATATACGAGGTGTTACACTCAAGGAGCAAGAGACAGCTATTGGGTGGTCTATTTCTGATTTGAAGGGCGTCAACCATTCTTTCTGTACTCACAAGATTCTAATGGAAGACAATGTTAAACCTGTGAGACAACCTCAGAGAAGACTAAATCCCACAAAGAAGGAAGTCCATCAGCGACATGAAGAAAACAAGCCAAAGGTTAAGATGGAAATATCTAGGAGTAAGGGAAAGCATGTGAAGACTAAATTTAAAGTTCCTGAGAACCCTCATCCTCATCCACATGCATATGATTATTATGGAAAGACACAATACTGGACCAAGAAGATTGGGTCATCAATGGTAGCGTGCTTCCAACCACCATAATGACAAGGAGTGCGTCAGGCTCGTGACATTAAACAAGCGCTGGTTGGGAGGCAACCAATAATTTTTTAGTCATTTTCTTATTTATTTCTTTTGAGTCTTTAAGTTTTATGAAATAGTTAGTTTTTGAGTCAAGGAAAATAGAGTACCGCACAAATCGTGCGGTATATAGAGCGAAAAGCAAGAGTTTCCAATGAAACTCCCTGTCTCCTCACGCGAAGTGCGTGGACCCTGGCGCCATCCGCGCCATATTAGCTTGGAAACTTCTGTTTCACCGCGCAAATCGTGCAGATTCTGGCGCAATCTGCGTGAGGGTGATGTTTTGCTGTTTTATTTTTTATTTTTATTTTTATTGTTTTTGACCATCTAGGATGATGTTAGGGTCATTCAAACACATTTGGTCTTTGATTTTGTAGTTCCACAGTACAGCGGTCATGTTATTTTTTGATTGATTGTTCACATGTGTGTGTGTTTTACTTGCGCAACAGTTACATTCATCAACTAGTTTAGTTATTGCTGGGGATTGCAATCTTCTAAATCTGGGAATTGGGACCGCATACGCAGTATTTGAGGAATCACATACAGAGGAACAAAAGAAACATCCAACACAGAAAATCAGAGAATTCATTTCACTAATCAGGGGAGTTATTTTAACCTTTCCAGTTTATTTTCATTTTAGTAGTAAATTTTTTGTTTTTAGTTTTATTTTCTGTTGGTGTTAATAATTGTTATGTGAAAGCACATTTCAGATTTAGATGTGCTACTCAGTCAATTCCTTGGTTGAAAATAAGGAAGCGTTGCATGATATGTATTATTGTCATAGCATTGCATTGACACGAGCTGTCGAACTCGCACAAATTAAAAATTATTGTTTTATTTAGGGTTCAGAAAATTTGCAGTAAAGTGGAAACCCTAAGTCATCTCTCTAGGAAATTGTTTTGGTAAAAATAGATTATGAAAATAGAAAATAAAAAAGGGGGATTTGAATTTTGGTTGAATAATTAAAAGACAGAATATAAAAATTGGGATTAAAAATTCGTAATTAAAAATTAACCAACCTAAGGTTAGGGTTCCTAGGATGTCCTTCCTTGGATAAAAGTTACCAAATTCGTGATTAATCTCAATTGAATCAGAATCCTTATTTTCAATTGAGAACAATCTGATCATTAAATCTGATGATCATTATTTTTCCATAATCGTAATTGCGAACCTCAGATCGAATATCCACAATCGCACGATATCGATCTGAGTTAGGGTAAAGAAACGAATCTAGTTAGAGAATGATCGCAAATCCTCTAGACAGATCCATAGAATCCCTTCCCCTGAGGTTGATTAAAGGGGTTTTAGCCTAGCATGGCTAGGATAAACATGATTAAAGATTAAAATAAATAAAAAGAAGAAAGAGAAAAAGACGAAGAACAGGAAGAACACTTCAGAGAAAATACTTTGATCCCAAAATTCGTAAATTACATAATGAATAAAAGTTTCATACTCTGGCGTCATATACCCCTACCCAAATCGGGTTAGGGCTCAACTCAGATCGACCCATCTGTCTATAATACGAAATAAAATAAACAAAATAAATAAAAATAAAACTTGACTTTGGGCCACTTAAGTAATTGGGTTTTAATTTAAATTACAAGTCCAATAATAAAATAAAACTTCAGCAAAACGCGTCCAACTTGGCGTCAGAAATCGACTAGCTTCCAGTTCGAATTGGGCTTTGAGTTCTTCATAAGAATTGTAGCCCTCTGCGTTATCTGAAAAACTCAATAAGAACGAAGTCAATCCAACAACTGTGAACTGAGATATGACCAAAATACAAAAGTAACGTAAAGCTGAAAAATTCTGACGAAAATAAATTAAACCCAATCAAAAACTAAAAATCTAAATTAACTCTAAAAATCATTATTTTATTCAAATAAATCATAAAAATACTAATCAAGAGTAACAAATAAACCTAATAAAATATGAGTTATCAAATTTCCCCACACTTATCTTTTTGCACTCCTGAGCAAAAACTAGAATATAAAAAGAAAGCAAAGAAATAAGGAAAGAGTGAATATCAACCTATCCTTCCTAATAATTAGCAATTTTACAAAAGATAACAAAAATCACAAGTCTTGAACAGATAAACCAACCAGGACAAAAATTTCTTAATCTCAAATCACAAGACCTGTCAATTTCAACTGCAACTGCTAACTACACAAAAATAGTTCCTCACAGGATGCTCTCAATTTTCTCTCAAGTGTATCAGTTAATTCAGTATATCACTCAAATCAACTCAAGAAAATCATCCTACCATAGGCTTGCTCAAGTTCTACTTCTCCACTGCTAATAACACATGCATGCACAAATCAAGAGGGCTTTATGCAGGGTTGTATTGGGGCTGAGGTAAAGGTATTGATGAATATGGAAAAGAAAGCTAAACACCCCAGAAATTTACAGAGAGCAAAAGTTAAGAACTAAACTAAAAATAAAACAAATATAAAGAATAACAAAACCTCTTTTTTTGTTTTTTAAACAAATATAAAGAATAACAAACTAACAAACTTTTTTTTTGTTTTAAAAAAAAAACAATAATACAGACAAAATATCCAGATGGTTACCCCCCACACTTAGACTTTGCACGTCTCGGGCAAACCCCCACACTTAAACAAAACACTACAGTAAAACCAATGCTCAGTAAATCTCCAAGATGTGGAATTAATTGGTTTTTCACTTAGGCTTGTAATGTGGCTAAGAAACAAGGGTTACATAAGGCACAAAAAGGGCTAACCAAGGGAATACAATGCAGGGATGGCTATTTGGCTAAAGTGGGAAAGAAAAGAAAGAATGCCTCAATCATATTCATGCATGCAAGTGAAAAATGCAGTTTCAAAAAGAACAAGAGCAAGTTCTAGAGGACAACAATCAAGAGCAGAATCACACAAGAAAGAAAGTTTGGCCTACAGATGAAGACCATGTCTACAGGCTCAAAACCTCACAAGGGTATACCAAATCATACAATCAGCAGCACAGTATCAAGTAACAAGTAATGCAATCCAAGAATCAAGAACCAAGCCTAAACATAAATTTCTATCAAACCCTGTGATTTAAGTATAATCCATGTATAACTCACTAATCATAAGAGAAAACAAGAATATCAAACTCTTTTTTTTGTTTTTGCTTTTAAATCCAAACATGAAAAACAAAGCTAAGAAAGGAAGTGAACTCTCTGTCCTCCCTAAGGAGGGTAAACAACATCAAGCAGCCGAAGCTCTGCATCCATCTGTGTCTCTACAAGTTGCTGCTGTGCTCCTTCATAAAAGGGCTTCAGACGATGCCCATTCACAGTGAAAGTGTTTCCAGTCTGCTTATCATTTAATTCAACTGCACCATAAGGAAAAATATTAGCAATAACAAAGGGGCCATCCCATCTTGATCTAAGTTTACCAGGCATGAACTTAAGATGGGAATTGAATAACAGCACATTCTGGCCCACAACAAAGTCTTTCCTCAGGATCTGCTTATCATAGAATGCCTTTGTCTTTTCCTTGTATATGTGTGAGCTCTCATAGGCATCCAAACAAAGCTCCTCTAACTCTTGCAGCTGTAGTTTCCTTTCTCCCCCTGACTGGATTAGGTCCATGTTACACTGCTTCACAACCCAATATGCTCGATGCTCCAGCTCCACTGGTAGGTGACATGCCTTACCATAAACAAGCCGGTAAGGGGACATCCCAATCAGAGTCTTATAGGCAGTCATGTATGCCCACAAAGCATCTTCCAGCCTCTTGCTCCAATCTTTTCTATTAGCATTGACAGTCTTCTGAAGGATTTGCTTAACCTCTCTGTTTGAAACTTCAGCTTGGCCATTTGTCTGTGGATGATATGCTGTAGCTACTTTGTGGAGGACTCCATATTTTTTTCAGTAAGGCATCCATGCTCCTATTGCAAAAATGCGAGCCCTGGTCACTGATAATAGCTCGAGGAATGCCAAACCTGCAGAAAATATGAGAACAGACAAAATCTACAACAACAACAGAATCATCAGTTCGGGTGGCTTTCGCCTCGACCCACTTAGAAACATAATCCACAGCTAAGATTATGTAAGCAAAACCAAAGGAAATAGGAAAGGGACCATAAAATCAATACCCCAAACATCAAAAACCTCACAGAAAAGTATAGGGTGTTGGAGTATCTCATGTCTACGGGAAATGCTACCTGCTCTCTAACAATTATTACAAGACTTACAAAACTCATAAGCATCATGAAATAGAGAAGGTCAGAACAAACCATAATCTAGAACCTTCCTAGCAGTTCTTTGTGGTCCAAAATGACCACCACAAGCAGATGCATGACAAAAATTCAAAATGGAAAGAGTCTCACTGTCAGGCACACATCTTCTAACCACTTGGTCACTACAAAATCTCCACAAATAAGGATCATCCCACACATAGTATTTAGACTCACTTTTCAATTTCAAGACTTGAGCCTTAGTGGAGTCAACAGATAACGCACCAGCAACCAAGTAATTAACTATATCAGCAAACCAAGGGAACTTACCTTGCAGCTGTAAAAGCTGCTCATCAGGGAAATCATCCCCAATAGGTAAAGGGTCAGATGGAAGAGAGGTGATGCAGCTCAGATGATCAGCAACTTGGTTTTCCGCTCCACTTCTATCCTTAATCTCAATATCAAACTCTTGGAGCAGCAACATCCACTGGATAAGTCTAGGCTTAGCATCTGCTTTCTTTAAAAGAAATTTCAAAGCTGCATGGTCAGAGAAAACAATAACCTTGGTATCTAACAGATTTGACCGAAACTTATCAAGAGCAAATACTATAGCCAAGAGTTCTTTTTCAGTGGTGGTATAGTTGGATTGAGCAGAATCCAACGTCCTGGATGCATATGCAATGACATGTGGGGCCTTATTGACCCGCTGAGCAAGAACAGCTCCAACAGCATAATTGGATGCGTTGCACATCAACTCAAATGGGAGAGACCAATCAGGTGTCCGGATCACAGGAGCTATGGTTAAGCAGCACTTCAGATGATCAAAAGCTGCCTTGCATGCATCACCAAACTCAAAGTCAATGTCTTTCTGGAGGAGGTTGGACAGTGGAAGAGCAATCTTGCTAAAATCCTGAATGAAGCGCCTGTAAAAACCTGCATGGCCAAGAAAAGAACGAACTTCCCGCACAGAAGCGGGGTACGACAAAGCAGTAATAACATCAAATTTAGCGGGATCCACTTCAATACCCTTTTTAGAGACATGTCCTAAAACTATCCCTGACTCAACCATGAAATTACATTTTTCAAAATTTAACACAAGATGGGTTTGAATGCATTTGTTCAAAACTCTACCCAGATTACCCAAACATGCATCAAAAGAAGAGCCATAGACACTAAAATCATCCATAAAAACTTCCATGCAATCCTCTAACAACTCAGAAAAGATGCTTACCATGCAACACTGAAAAGTACCTGGTGCGTTCCAAAGTCCAAAGGGCATCCGCCTGTATGCATCTGTGCCAAAGGGGCATGTGAAGGTTTTCTTCTCCTGATCCTTAGGTGCAATGTGGATCTGGAAGTAGCCTGAGTATCCATCCAGAAAATAGTAGTGGGATTTACCAGCCAACCGCTCCAACATCTGATCAATAAATGGAAGAGGATAGTGATCCTTGCGGGTTGCCTGGTTGAGCCTACGATAGCCTATGCAGACTCTCCAATTGTTTTGAGCTCTTGTTGTAATTAGCTTATTATTCTGGTTGGCAATCACAGTGACTCCCGACTTCTTAGGGACCACCTGAACAGGACTAACCCACTGGCTATCAGAGATGGGGTAAATCATTCTAGCTTGTAAGAGTTTTGTTACTTCCTTCTTCACCACATCTAGAATCAGTGGGTTCAAACGCCTTTGGGGCTGTCTCACTGTTTTAGCTCCTTCTTCAAGTAGAATACGGTGCATGCATGTGGAAAGACTAATGCCAATAATGTCAGCCATTGTCCACCCAATTGCCCTCTTATTTGCTTTCAGCAAAGTTAACAGTTTATCCTCCTGCTCAGGTAGAAGGTTCTTTGCCACAATGACTGGTAGCTGCTCATTCTCCTCAAGGAATGCATGTTTTAAGTGGTCAGGCAGAACCTTCAACTCCAATTTCGGAAGCTGCTCAATGGATGGAAGAGGTGTAGTTGGTGGTGCAAGTTCTGCAAAAACAAGTCAGCAGCTATGCCTGTAAACAAGTTCTCAGAAACAGAATTAGGATCATCAATAATACCAGCAGGCAATTCAGACAATGCAGATTCAGAATCAAAATCTTGTTCATCAATCAGTGCATCATTAAAACCAGAAAGATGTGATGCTATTTCAGCACACACAATGCACTCTTGACTATCACCACAACCACAAAAATCAGAATCATGAGTGAATGAAAAATCAGCAAGGAATTCAGCAGAAACATCCTCAACAACTTCATCTATCACATCAATGCATAAAACAGAATGCTCTTCCCTAGGATATTTCATGGCATCAAATATATTAAAATGCACAATGCTATCACCAAACTCCATGGAAAGACTACCAGCATGAACATCTATCTTCGTCCTAACTGTTCTCATGAAAGGCCTACCAAGTATAATTGGTGATCTATTACTAGCAGTCTCACTCTCCATTTCAAAATGTAGAAATTAGCAGGAAAAATCAGATTATTAACTCTGACCAATACATCCTCAATCAAACCAGATGGGTGAATACTACTCCTATTAGCTAATGTAACCACAATATGAGTAGCATGCAAAGGACCAAGACCAAGAGACTTATACACAGATGCATGCATATCATTAATGGAAGCTCCTAAGTCTAGCATGTAATCATGAAAAATAGAATTGCCAATCACACAAGGAATAATAAATGTCCCTGGATCTTGACACTTTTTAGGCATGGGTTGGATGAGTGCTGATACATTCTGACTCCGGCTAACTCACTCATCTCCTTTCAGTCTTCTCTTGTTGGTGCACAGCTCCTTTAAAAACTTGGCATATCTCGGAATCTGCTGTATTGCATCCAGAAGAGGGATGTTCACCTCAACTTTTCAGATGTTGTCAAGTATCTCTTTATCTTGAGCCTTTGTTGATTGCTTCTTGGACTGAGTGGCTCTCTGAGGGAATGGCAGAGGGATATGGATATCAGATGTATCAATGCTCTGCTTCTTGGAACTAGTGTCACCTCCCTTAGATGACTCAGCAGCAGCTTGGTTTGGCTCTTCCACTTGCTTTCCAGACCGCAGAGAAATAACACTCGCATTTCCGCTTCCTTTTGGATTTGGAATTGTTTGGGATGGAAGGGAGCTGCCACCTGCTTGTTGATTCTGACTCATTGATGTTGCAAGTTGGCCAATCTGTGTTTGCAGATTCTGGATGGAAGACTCAGTCCTCTGCTGGAACTACAGATTATTAGTTGCCATATGCTTCACTAAATCCTTCAAAGAAAGACCATTGCTACTGGCTTGCTGCTGCATTGGTGGTTGTTGCATTGGTGGCTACTGCACTTGCTGTGGAGGTGCAGATTATTGGAAATTATGCCTCTGCTGTGAGGGTACAAACTGTTGCCTCTGTTGGAATGGTGCACTTTGCTGATTCTGGCTCCATTTGAGATTTGGATGATTTTTCCAGCCAGGATTATATGTATTAGAGAAGGGATTGTTTTGCTGCTGCTGCTGGTACTGTGGATTTCCAGGAAAAACTGCAGCAACAGACTGATCAACTTGGAAACCATTGTCTTGAAAGGAAGGACAAGTATCCGTGGGGTGAGAAGGATCACAACAGATGCCAAACAGGTTGCTTGTTTGTTGAGCAGAAGGTTGCACTATCTGTGTCACTGCCAACTGCCTCACCATTGATGTCAACTCATCAAGCCTGTTCTCTATTCTCTAGTTATCTGTGCTTGATGCTCCTCCTGCTGCCACTATTGGATTTTGCATTGGAGAATATTGCATTTGGAACACTGCACTGCTGTTTGCTCTAGTGCCAAATTGTTGAGCATTAGCCACTATCTCAGCAATAAACTCTTTTGCCACAACAGGTGTTTTATTTCCCAGGACTTCTCCACTAGCTGCATCTAAAAGGTTCCTATCCATAGGCAGCAACCCTTCATAGAAGTAAACAATCAGGAGATTATCTGGAATCTGATGATGTGGACAACTTGCACAAAGCATTTTAAATCGCTCCCAATACTCATGCATGTTCTCCCCATTAGCCTGCCTTATGCCACTGATCTACTTTCTGATTATGGTGGCCCTGGATGAAGGGAAGAATTTCTCCAGAAACAATCTTGACATGTCATTCCAGCATACAATGGAGGAAAGTGGCAAGTAGTACAGCCAGTCCTTAGCTCCACTATCTAAAGAGAAAGGAAAGGCACACAACTTGATTTGCTCCTCATCCACCCCTGGTGGTTTCATAGTGCTGAAAACTACATGGAACTCCTTCAGATGTTTGTTAGGATCCTCACCTGCAAGACCATGAAATTTGGTAAGCAAGTGTATCAGTCCAGACTTAAGCTCAAAAGGTACATCAGGGTTAGCATAACGAATACACAGAGGCTGCTCATTATTAGCATCAGGTGCAACCAATTGCTTAAGAGTCCTAGTATCCATGATCATAGAATCAAATAAATTACCAAACGAATAAACACTATGTAAAGGACTCGAACAAATAGACTCAACAGACTCAGACTCTAAGGTATGCTCAGGAACAGCTCTACTG